CCTGGCGAGTCCACATTCTGTGCCAGTGTATCATTGACACAGTTCCTCAAAGAACAGCTATTTTTAAAAAATTCTTTCTTCTGTGGGGAAATGTGGCTGAAAAGTGACTGGAAGAGGCCCTGGGGGTGCCGGTGCCAGGGGCTGGACATGAGCCCAGGGGTGCCCAGGTGGGCAAGAGGCCACTGGCCCCTGGGCTGGGTGAGGAATTGTGTGTCCAGCATGAGCAGGGCAGGGATTGTCCCTCTGTGCTGGCTCTGGCCCTTCAAATCCTGTGAGAGAACAAACTCTGTCCCTGGGACAGCTTTTACAGCAGTGACAGCCTTTGGTAATGGGTGTTCGGGAGGAAGGTGCTGATGTGTGGCATCCTGGAGCAGAAGGTGATGGGTAAGAGTGAAACATTTGCCCGTGTGTGATTGCTGACCTAACCCGCTGGTCCATGGGGCTCCGGGAGGGTTAGGTAACACGGAGAGAGCTGCGGGATGTTTGTGGCACGGAGATGCCATCTAGTGGGAACAGCAGCTGGGGAGAGAGCAGGAAAGGAGGGTCCTGGCACCCCTCTTCTTCCCCCTTGAGCAGCTGAACCCCAGTGCCACACACACCCCTGGCTTGGGGACATGCTGTGGCACCGTGCCAGGCTCACGAGTGACAAAGACCTCAATAACGTGGGGACAAAAAAAAAATGATAGACAAGAAAAGGGATTTGTGTTTTCCTTGATTCTTGAACTGAAAGCTGTGCTGGGAACCAGTTTCAGCCAGAGGGTTTGAAATAAGGGGCTGAGAGGGGAATCCTGAGTGGAAAGTCTTGCACAAATTCAGCAAGAGACAGGGAGACACTGTGTCAAGGAATCATGGAATATCCTGAGCTGGGAGGGATCCCATCCAGTCCCACCCTGCCCTGCCCAGAGCCCCCAACACCCCCAGCCTGGGCATCCCTGGATGCTCCTGGAGCTCTGGCAGCCTCGGGGCCGTGCCCATTCCCTGGGGAGCCTGGGCAGTGCCAGCACCTCTGGGGGAAGAAGAGCCTTGCCCTGATCTCCATCCTGAGCTGCCCTGGCCCAGCTCCAGCCATGCCCTGGGTGCTGTCCCTGTCCCAGAGCAGAGATCGGAGCTGTCCCTCGGGAGGAGCTGCAGATCCCAGGAGCTCTGACCTCAGTCTGCTCTGCTCCAGCTGGACAAACCAAGCACCCTCAGCTGCTCCTCTTGTGGTTTCCCCTCCAGACCCTTCATCATTTGTTCTCTCCCTCCCTCTCCTGCTTTGTCTCTCTGGGCTGGTGACAAGTGAAGCAGGTTCCTCAGATGTGTCCACCTCAGCCATCCCATTTTCTCAGACGAGGTGATGGGCAGTCAGTGTGTATTTCATGAAATGGACTGAAGTGTGGAGATCCTTGAGCTCTCTGGGAAGGAAGGAGACACCTTGTGAACCTGAAGTGGAGGATTTCAGCCTTACACCGCTATCTCAATATGGCACTTTTCATCTTTTATTTTTGGTAAAGATGGGCAAGGACATCTTCCACTGTCCCAGGCTGCTCCAAGCCCCAGTGTCCAGCCTGGCCTTGGGCACTGCCAGGGATCCAGGGGCAGCCCCAGCTTCTCTGGGAAACCTGTGCCAGGGCCTTCTCACCCTCACAGGGAACAACTTCTTCCTATATTAATCTAAATTTCTTCTTTTTCAGTTTGAGCCTATTCCCCCTTGTCCTATCACTCCCAGCTCCTGATGAATTGTCCCTCTCCTGTTCCCCTGTTGCCCTTTCAGGTATTGGAAGGTGCTGTGAGGTTTCTCTTCAGGCTGGACGTCCCCAGGCTTTCTCGCCTATTTATAAGACAAGTGCTGGGCATGCAGCTCCTTCTTGTGCTGCACTGCTCAGGGGGGAGCTTGCCACAGGGCCCCAGAGAACAGCAGGGATGTGGGAGGGGTGAGGGACAGCAGAATGGCTCCAGAGCTGGGACAAGGCACCATGGAGTTCATCTCTTCTCTCACTCCAGATCAGTCTCTGCTCCATCTTCGGTTTAGAGCAGCAGGGGCTTTGCTCTGAATTCTTACCCTGGCAGTTCCTGGGGACCCCAGGTGAGTCGTGTGGACTCTACCCTTTCCATGGGATTCCTGAACATTAAACAGGACCAACATTTCCAATATCAAAAGACCTCAGCAAGGGTCACTGCACCAGCACTCACTGAGGGCTTTGAAGATCCAGAGCATTTTCCATATATTTAGTTTTTATCTCAATCCACATTTGTGAATGAAAGGATTATAACGTCCTTAAAACTTCTTGATGCTTGGAGAACAGAATGTGAGTCTCCAGCTCCTGAGATCACTTTGCAGATGTATAATTTAAAAATGAAAAATTTTGCTCACACATTCAGCCAGTTCCCGTTTTTGCTTCCTTTTCCCTGTTGCTGCTCTTCTCTTCATCTATAAATAGCTACTTGAGCGCCTGGTCCCAAAGCAGTGCTGGAGCAGCTCTTCTTATTATCAGCAAAGCCTGATCATTTTGTCTGCCAAGAGCTGAAATGTGCTGACTTGAGCTGCAGAAAGACCTGGATGTGGGGGGAAATGGCCTGGCTCTGCCTTTTTACCCAGGAGAGATCTGCAGGCACCTTGTGCTGGGGCTGGGGGTCCCGTGTGGATTCTGTGAGGCCATTTCAGTGGAAACTGCCCAGTTCAGCAGGACTCTGCCTCCCTGCCGAGGTGCACCTCCATCCCAAACCCAGGGCTAGAGATCCCACCTGTGGGAATCAGAAATGAAACAACTTTTGTGTCTTCATGAAGGTGAAGTTCCTTGTGGAAATTGGCCATTGGTGTTCTCAGGTTGATTGAGCCCCCAGTTATCTGCAGCTGGATGCATTTTGGTGATGCAGGAGCTGCCCAGCTCTGTGGAGTGCAGAACGCATCCACTGGTGTGGATTCATCCCCTGGCTTCCCAGAGCTGGCATGGGAGGAGTGCTGGGCTGTGCCTATGAGAGATGGAAGAATATTAAAGGCTTTAAGTGCTGTTCTGCTTGCAGAGTTTCCTGCAAGGGAGGTGAAAACAATTCCCATCTCTTTCCATCAGCAACCAAGTCTCTGTCAACAGCAGCTGAAAAGCAAACTCTTGGGAAATACTCAAAGTGTGGGAAAGGAGGGATTTCTGATGCTGATACCCCTGTCTGTAGCAGGTTGTTTGCCAAGAGCAGACAGACCTGGATGTTGTTTTTCCAGTTCTCAGCTAAGAGTTTTGTTTTGCTCTGTGCCTGCTGCAGTTCACCCTGCAGGAGGCTCCTTCTGTGGGAGAGGTGTTATTTATCCTTCACTCTTTGCCTGGACAGCAGGGACTGCTTCCCTCAGCCTCCTTTATTTGCTTTTGCAATAATACAGCTCTGCCTTGCTCCTGTGGTTATTTCTCCTGGTCTTTCTTCCTTCTTCCCTGCTGAAGGCAGATCAATGCTTGGCCTGGTCATAAACTCACCAAGATGTTTTTCAGGTCATTTATTTAAGAGCTGATAATTAGCACTTTGTGCAGGGAGAAAAATAATGAGGCAAAATGTAACTTTTTTTTTTTTCCCTCTGAAAACTTTTCGGGCATAAATATAAGGGAGTAATTTTCATCATTATTACTATTGTTGTTGTTGTTGTTATGTTGCTCCAAAAATACAGCAGTGGTCAAGCCTGAGCTGATGAGAATGAAAAGGAAAAAAAAAAATCTCAGTTTGCAAAATGGATGCTGAAATTTTCATGGATCTGGGAGTTTCCAGCTGCAGCTGCTTTGCTCCTATGGCATTGCACTCCCTGAAAATGCCAGCAAGGATTGACACCCCTCACCAGCTGCTGCCCCATCCACTTCCACACCCACTGCTGATTATCCAGGGTTGATTTTCCAGTCACTGGGCTCACAGAAACCCCCAAGAAACCAAATTCTTTTTCTCAGTCGCACAACTTGTGCTCACAACTTTCTCCTCCAGGTGAACAGTGCTATCCCAGCACTCTGGTAGATTGTCTTCCTTATGGATTTGGCTTTGACAGAGGGAACCTTTCCTTTCTGATGAGAGCTGTGCCAGTGATAACCACAGCAATTCACATCCTGCCAGCCCTGCAGCAGCAAACAAACCAGCTGCTGCCTGTGCTTTGTGTTTCCCCCCTCAGCCCGTTCCATAGGCACAGATAAGGTGGGAAGAAAACATGGTAAATTGATTCTATTTTACAGGTAGAAAAGCAATTTCTAACAAGTGGGGAATTGAGGGTGAGAGGAATGTGAGGCTTTTTTTTTATTGAGAACAACTGCGAGTTTTGCTTTGCCTGCTTCAGGTTTGTTATCAGCGCTCTCAGAGCGCTGTCACCAAATGCCACTGGCTTCAAAACCAATGTGCTGCTTGCTACAACTGAGAAATAAAATAATCCTTTAAACTGGACACTGTTGCCTGGTTATGGATGTGCTGGTGATGGAATCTGCTGACTTTTGAATACCTGCCCCTGGTGAGCCCTTACCATCCTTGCTGAGCTCAGTGCAGCTGCACAGGTGGAATTCCAGGTGGAAAGAAACAGTGGGAGTCTCTCATTTAGGGTACTCCCAACTTTTCAGACCTCGTGCAGGGGTCACTGCAGGATCATATCCTGACCTCGGTCAAGCTGCAGTGAAAAACAAGTGCTCTGAGCCTTGCAAATTTTCCTCTTGGTGCATTTGAGCCTTTTCCCAGCACTGCAGGGTGTATTTGTGCAGAAAAGGTGGAGATGTGATTTTTCCACCAATATTTGAGGATGCATGTAGGAAGCAATCTTATCCTCTAGCTACAAGTCAATGCAGGAGGGACAGTTCATGGAAAAACAGGTTCTTTATCCTCCACATGATTTGACTAAAAGAGAAAAAACCCCTCACTTCTACTAAAATATTACTCTTTCTGCTCTCCACAAGATGACACAGACACTCACAGACACACAGAGAGATGATTCAGGAGGTAAAATAAGAAATAAAGAAATAAGGAGGTAAAATCAGAATAAAAATAATAGGAATAATTCATTCACCTGACTTGCTGCGAGCTCTGCTGAGCAGCAGAACTAAGCAGGAGGACACTGGGAGGTGCAGGTGCTGTTTTCTTTTCCCAGTTCTTCATAGACTGTGGAATTGCTGGCTCTGTTTACCCCATAAAAAAATGGAATAACAATATTTGAAGAGCTGTTTAAAGTCCTCAGTAGTCTTAGTCCTGTAGCTGCTAAATAGGGATTTCTCTGGATCTTACCCAGCGTTTGAAGGTCCTAATAAAACCTCACCTGTGTGTGTGTTCTTTCCTCCTGTATTTCAAGTTCCTCACCATGAAATATGCCAGAGTTTTTCTGTGATTGAGGTTTGCCCCAGGTACAGGGAGCAGCAGACTCCTGGTTTTTTGTTCCAAATCCCAGTAAACCAGTGGAACTTTAAGCTGGGAGCAATTCACCTGGGATCACAGCAGTCCCAGGTAATTAATTACTCTGTCTGTGCTGGATAATGAGGAAGGACAGCTATTTAAAACACAGTCTAGTTACTCCATAATGTCTGGCTAGGTTTGCAAATCTTGGTCGAAAATACACTGGAAAATGCTAAAATGAGGTGAGTTTCTCTTTTTTTATCAGTGCTGAAGAGTCAAGGAGTTTCAGTGTACTGCAGCATGTAAAATCCAGCCACAATCCCATCTTCCATGGGAAGGAAACATCCCTGGAAGGAAATTACACCCTGAAAAAAGAGGCAGAAAACAATTCCTTCGAACACAGTTTGTTACTTCTCCTATATATTTATCTCTTCTTGCAAACCCTTCCATGACATTAAATTTATGGAGTGTATTTTATTTAAATTACTGACCATGTCTTTCTACAGAGGCCACGTCTTTACCAGTAAAGTAAAGGGTGTTAGAGAACATTTTCAGCTTCCAAAAATTTGTTTCCTGTTCAGTACAACTTTTAGAGCAATCCTTAATATGGTTTCAGTCTCAGACAGATAGGACTCTCCAAAATCTTTTAGTTCCTGATAAATAATATATTTATTGAGAGCCTGAGAGTTCTTTAGGATGAATGTGACTGGTCCCTGCCTAGTAACTAAAAATAGTCCTGGGCACTTGAAATTTATCGGCACAGATGTACCAAGTGTTTTACACACACATATGTTTACCTTCTGGGAAAAGGGAAGAATGAATGTTAACTGTAAATCTCGTCTTTACTCCCAGAAATGGGCAATTTTTGACCAAACTTGCTCTGTGTAGAGCAGCTCTTGCCATTTGGATCCGTATGTGCTGATGAGAATTGGTTTGTTAATCAAAGTGCTTTGGAATTAATGTCATGTCAGCTTCTCTGGCTTGGGAATTTGTGCAATTCAGTCCATTTTGATACAAAACAAAGTGAATGCTTTGATAGAAATGGTTCTCTGAGGAGCAGAGCAATGAGGAACTCAAGTCAGGAGCTGTCTTCCTGCACAATGCCCAAACCTCCCCTTGCCACTGGTTCAAGAAACCTCTTTGTGCATTTTCGTTTTTTACAGAACAGCATCTGCCTAACTTTGATCTCTTTGGTTGACCAGAGACAAATCCAGACCTTCCTATGAGGGGAATCTTTGCTCCTCACTCACTCCTATTTCACTTCTCCTCTCTGCCAGAGTCTGCCAGTGCTCTGGGCATTTTGGGTTAAGAGAAAGATTAAATTGGGTTGAGTCTTTACCTGAGCATAGCCGCTGCTTTATGTGACTGCAGTGCCTGTGAGGACATGCCTAATCCTCACAGGATCCAGCCCTCCCTGTGGGAACCTGGGCAAGACTCCTGAATTTCTGTGTTTAGTCAGCTGGGATCAAACTGATTCCTGCTGCATGGATCTTAAAAACATGGATCGTACTCGAGAGAGCTGCAGCTTTTTAATGGAGGCTGGAAATGATAGGGCATTCAGGGGATTACTATAACACTTGTCTGCAAACCTGGAGCAAATCTATCACTCAGAAGCTTGTGGGTTTAACATTAATTACTCATTAATTACTAGAGAATGAGTGAGCAGCAAACAAGAGACAGCCCCATTACTTGGACAGAAATCATCTGTTAGCAGCACCAGGTGGATTTGGAGCAGCACCATAAATAGCTGGTCCAGATCATTAGATTAGAGATGGTTCTTTACAGAACAGTGCAGAGGGGTGGATATTGAAGGGGAAGTTTATGACTCATTTTTGAGTGAGGTGGATTTTTCTTATTCTTAGAGCAACACAAATATTAATAAGGGATTGCTAACTGTGACTGTTTCACTTCAGGTAAAGATAATATGCAATTATATTTGTAAAAGCAGAGGGATTAGCATTTTTTAATGAGTTACACTAAACTTGTTTTTATAAATGTTCTGTCTCCTTTCCCATTTCTGGTGGGAGTTCACTCTCTTTGAGATCTCCAGACTTCCTTATGCGTGCAAGAAATTTCCTGCTCTGCACTGACATTTATCCTTTTCTCAGTTTAATCTCTGCAAACCATTACAATCTCTAAGTGAAATCTGCACAAGGTAGGCCCCAATCCACCCAATTTTTTGCCAAACACCAAATAAGTTTCTAGACCAGGCTGGTGAACTCCCACTGGAGTGCATGTGTTAATTAGGTGGAGTTAATTGCCCCTTGGAGTGCCCTGTCCATAAAGTAAGATCACTCATTTATGCAGTTAATTGGGTATTTTAGGTAAGAGAAATCCCACCCAGGTATGGCCTATGAGTGGAAATTGCTAGCTGGCCTTCCTTGCACTTTGCTAGGATGGCTCATGCTTCACCTTTCCAAAATATCCATGGAGCTGTCTGACCTCCAGGGGCAGAAACAGGGATCTGTAAAGGAAGGCTGGAGGTTCAGCCCTTTTTTAAATGACTGAATTCTGCTTTTCTCTCTACATCCCTTGCCTGCCCCCAAATACAAGCCCTAAGAATAATGAGAACGAAAAAAGGAGAAGCTTCAGAAACATTGGCCTTAACCTCAGTCTGTTCTCTCCATTTACAGTTTTCAGACAGTTAAATTGGTGTTTTTCAGGGAGTTTGAAATCCTGAACATGTCTGCTACAGCCAGGAACTTTCATCTTCATTCTCAGATCTCTTTGGATCTGGGCTGGGTGAGGAATTGTGTGTCCAGCAGGAGCAGGGCAGGGATTGTCCCTCTGTGCTGGCTCTGAGAGGCCCCTCGAGGGCTGGCTCCAGTTGTGGCTGGTGCAGGAGAGCCCTGGAGGGGCTGGAGCGTGTCCAGGGCAGGGAACGGAGCTGGGAAGGGGCTGGAGCCCCAGGAGGGGCTGAGGGAGCTGGGAAAGGGGCTGAGCCTGGAGCAAAGGAGGCTCAGGGGGCCCTTGTGGCTCTGCACAAGTCCCTGGCAGGAGGGGACAGCCGGGGGGGTCGGGCTCTGCTGCCAGGGAACAGGGACAGGAGGAGAGCTCAGGCCTCAGGCTGGGCCAGGGGAGGCTCAGGGTGGGCAGCAGCAGGAATTTGCCCATGGAAAGGGAGCTCAAGCCATGGAACAGACTTAGCAATCCCTCTCCTTTTCAAGTGATGTACCTCATGTGAAAAACCCATTTTTACTACTCCAAATACCTTGAGATGCAGTCAGGAGTTGCTCAGGGAGGGATTTAGTGTGTTTGGAGCTGTGCACAGTGGGAAGAGCAGCCAGAATATCTGAATTTTTCTCCCCCTCCTGATTTCTGTCAGCCTGGCCAAGGTCCTCATTACAAGTAATTAGCACAATGTGTGAGAGGTCACTGCTCCTTGCAGGGAAAGTTTGTTCTGGCTGTTCAGAAGTTTATGGTCTCTGGGGGTTGAAATCCTTCTTCACCTACAAAGGAGGGATGGAAATGAAACATCTCAATGCTTCCCACTTCCACCAATCTGTGGAAAAGCACAACTCTCATTAAGGAATTGCAACATTTTCATTCCTGGCCATAATCTGAATCAGTGATGGAGCAAAAAATGATTATTTTTCTGCTGACTGTAAGAATTACCAGTCAATGGAAGTACCATTGAACAGTAAATTACTGTAATTGCTTTCTGGCAAAGAAAGCTTGAATTCTTAATACATTTAATCTTGAATATCTGAGATATCTTACTTCTATAAGAAATCTTGTCTTGTGGTAACTGTGATACTGATTTCTGAGAACAATTTGTTCAGTGTTTACCTCTAAAATCAAGCAATTATTACCCAGCAGCCCAGCCTCACTGATTAGTCCAGAACTGCCTGGTTAAAGCAGCATTTAAAATAATGAATCATCCTACTGTTTGCTCTGGTTTTCCAATGAATTATTGGTACTTCTTTAGGCAATGGAGGAGATTAGCTGGAAACCTTAAGTAATGGGTATTCTCTGATTAAAGATGAGATTATCTCCCCAGTCTTTGCTATGGTTTCACAAGTCTTTCAAGCATGTCACTAACATTTAAATATGCAAGAAAGCATTAGTTTTATGATGGAAGTCTCCACTAATTTTGGTCTTCATACAAGGGGAATGTTGAAGAACTCACTAATTTTGGTCTTCATACAAGGGGAATGTTGAAGAACTCTAGCTTTCCTCAAAAAACCCTAATATATGATTTTAATTTGAATTCATGTGTAAATAATAGTAGAAAAATGGCTTAATAGTAGAAAAATGGTTAAAAATGAGGATGTTTCTTCAGTACCCAGAGAAATCAGATTGAGCAACAGCTGAAAAAAGTTATTTGTAGATCTTGATGAGACAGTGGCATGAAACCCAGGCAAAAAAAAAGTGAGAAAATATTGGAAAGGAAATTATCACTTCTACGTTTTGCAACAACAACAACAAAAAAGATGGGGGGGAATTATAAACAGGTCTTCAGTGCATAAAAACAAGTGCATTTAATATATTCTTAACTGAGTGAAAGTCACTTCCCTCTGGAAGGGGATTTTTTTTGCCACATTCCAGAGCTATTCTTAGCAGAGAATGGACAGTTCACAGAGCAGGAGAGCAATCCCTTTTCCCGGTGTGCAGGCAATAAACAAAGGAAACGCATCTGAAGCTGTGACCCTGGCCCTAAAACCTTTTCCCTCTCTCGGTATCAGCAAAGGAAGTGGGAACGTTTGCTAAAGAGATTTGTGCATTGCTCAGAAAGTGCTCAGGGATAAGAAAGATTCACGGAACATCCAGAAGATGGCATAGATGCAGCAATCCTGGTGTGGGGAAAGAGAGGGGGGGGAAAAAAACTTCATAAATCCTCAGTGGGCTGCTCCAGGAAATATCAATACACAGAAAAATACAATACAAAGAAAAAAGATGGAGTGAGAAACTTTTGAGGAGAAGTGTGAGGAGCTGGACTTGCAGAGCTGTGGGCAAGGATAGAGAGGGGATGGAGCCTCCTGGAAAAGTTGGAACCTACAAAAAACGAGGGACAGCAAGGAGGCTGGGAGAGGAGTGGAGGGGCAGAACCAAAATTTAGGGTATCTGTCAGGAAAACACGGTGGGAGAGGCCTGTCAATAGCTCCTGATGGACTTGGAAAGGGAATTCCATTTCTTGGGATGTTATTGAGATGTTATGAACGTGGATTATTGTAATAGTGTTTTTATTAGGTGTTAATAATGGGTATTGTTAAATGGATATTAATAAGTGTGCTGCTATTATCTGCCTTGGGTTGGCAAAGAGGTGGAACAAGTATGATTTTAGTGTTTGTAGTCTCTGTTATTCCAAGAATAATTAAAATACTATGTTAATAACAAAATAATGCAATTATATAAACATATATAATATAAACCCTAAACATATATAGAATATCATTATTAATAACATAAATATAATAATTAAAACACCATTTTAAAAATTACTGTAGCCAATAGCTCACAGTCAACCACAATGAAATATTTTATTTGGGATGGTCATTTGGGAAATCAGAAAATCAGAAAACACTGGGCTTTCCCCATAAAACATGATGTCAGTGGACAATTCCCAACCAGCTCTCCTTGTACACAGTGTCAAAGACACTTAGACCCCAATCTTTGATTGACCTGTGGCACTTTCTATGGTAAACAATTAAAAATTCTGTTTGGTGGAAGAGGAGCCAGTCCAGTTTGAGGCGAAAACCACAATTTCTGTGAAGAATTAAGAAGAATAAAGCAGACAGTGTCTTCTCATATTTCAGTAGCAAACCTATTGCTCTGAAATGTGATTTTCTGCTTGGTGGTTTCTACATCATCTTAAAGAATGGTAATAGAAGTGTCTTCCACACAGCACAGTTCCATTTTCAGGGTAGGATACCAGACTCCCAAAAATCCAGCTGTGCTGATCCACCATGAATATGTAAACTTTCAGTATGGGATCTGTTTTTTGTTACTGAACATGTTCTAGATTGTGAGGTTGTGAGGATAAGGAATTGGTAATAATTGGGTGGTAAAACCTGTTGTTGTATTGAGGAGACAAAAATGCCATGTTTGTTTCATGGAAGAGGAAATAAATTTCAGTTTCTTTGTCCAACAGGTACAGAGTTGGCAGTGTTGGAGATACTTAACCACAAGTTATGGAAAAAATCCTTTAAATTCTGAGATTACATTGTAATTCTTGCTTTGTCCAGAATCCTTACATATAAAAGAATCCTCTACTTATTATCTGGAAGCTGGCAGAAAAAGAAATGCCAGTGAGTTTGTTTAAAGATACAATTACGAAATAAAACTTAATGAATGGCTGTATTCCAGAAAAACCTGGAATCTGAAATAAAAGCATCTCTGAGTCCCTCAGAGAGAGAAAAGAATTAAAATATATTAAACCACATAGACATGAAGCAAGAGTGTAGTTTATAGTTTTAAGTAAGTAGAAATGTAGTTTAAATGCCTTAAGAGAATGTGTTAGCTAGTAAAAAGCCCTAAAGCCTAGTTTAAAATTTAGTAACCTTTATAGAATTAACTTAGTCCTAGACATAATGAAAAGATATCTTGTATTTCTAGATAGGACAGATAAAGCTATTCACATAAACAGATAATGCTCTATGAGTAGAATTTAGGTAAGGACTCACTCTACTTTTGTAAATTAAGAATTAAGCTTAGATTGCTGTAGAAAGAATGTTTTAGAATGGTGTTTTTAGTTGGTTGGGTGATTCATGAATATAATCCCCTGTATTGGGATGAAACAAGGTGGCCATCATCATCATCACACCTGAAGAAGAACTGCTGCAACTGCTTCTGCTGCCCAGACCAACAGGACTTTACACCAGGAAGCTGCTGCTCAGAATTCGTGACTTTATGCCAAAAGCTTTGAGCTTTAATACTCTGAACTTCGAGCCTATGAGACTGGTGCACCCATAGAATAAACATCTTTACAGCAACCAACAACAGCTCTTGTCTCCTTGAGACCCAGAGACCCCCAAAGCACTCAACCCTATACAATTTCTTCCCTGTAGCTGGCCTTGTAAACCTCTCAGGCTTATCTACAATGTTCTGGCACCTCCTGGCTTAGAAAAAGTGCTGTGTGTTCACTTCAGTGCTCAGAGTTTGGGAGGGGAGCAGCTCTCCCTCATGGGAATCATGGAATGGTTCGGGCTGGAAGGGACTTTAAAAATCATCCCATGGGCAGGGACACCTTCCACTGTCCCAGGATGCTCCAAGCTCCAATGTCCAGCCTGGCCTTGGACACTTCCAAGTGATGCAGGGGGCAGCCCCAGCTGCTCTGGGAATTCTATTCCAGTTCCATTTGACACAAGCAGGGAGCTCCTGGTCCCATCCCAGGTCCCTCTGAGGTCTCCCTGTGGCGCTAACGAGGGTGTCCAGCAGGTTCAGTTTGCCAGGCATTATTTGCCTGTTCTGTGCAGGCTCTCAGAGCTGTCAGGGTGAGCTGGCAGAAGCTTAGCCAGCGCTTTGTGCGGCAAATGATTATCCCACCTCTCCACCAGCCTTGTGAAATCAAAAGCACCCGTGCCAAAAGATAACTGTTTCTTAATCACATGTTCGCTGAACTCAGAGGCCTCAGCGCTCAGTTAATCACAAATCAGACTGATTGTTTTATTAACATTAACAAAGCTCCTAATTTTGGCTTTCTGCCTTTGTGGAGACTCGGCTGTTCTGTCTGAAATAACACTTGGAGAGGTCCCTTGTCTCATAAGTCTCTTCTTTTGGCTCGTGTTTTAAATTTCCCATTTCTTCTCAGGTTTAACCGGTGAGCAGCCCACACAAAAATTTAATTTCAATGCTGATTTCTCCTCAAACATAGGCTCTGAATTTTAACCTGCCTGGAATTTAAACACCACCTCCTCCTCAAGCAGCCTGTAAGATTTAAACAGTAACTTGACACAGAGTTTTAAAACACAAAACATCTTTCCAGTCACTTTATTCTTGATATGTTTTAAACTTTGGCAAAACATAAGGATTTTGTGTTTACTGCTTGCCAGAATGCTGCACATACTCCACAGCAAGTGGAATGCTGCTCACCCTTTGAAGTAATTTATTGTTATAAATCAAACTGCTGACTCTCCATTTTGAAATAGAGGAGGAATCACCAAAATTCAGCCTTTTTTCGACGGGAAGGGTTGGAACAGCAAAGCAACTGCCCTGGGATGGTTTGGAGTAAAACTCAGTGCATTGTCAGAAACTGCATGTCTTTATTTTTCTCATTCATAATTGGGATATTTAATTCATTTATTTATTTAGTAGGTCACATGTTTATTATATTGCTTTTCACAGGAAAAAAAAACCACTCCTCTATCTAATTCTTCCACTAAATCTAAATCTAAATCTAAATCTAAATCTATATATAATATAAATATAAATATAAATATAAATATAAATATAAATATAAATATTATATTATTATAAATATTATATTATTATAGAATATATATATATATTTAAACCCTAGTGCCAACTTTGATTTTTCCCTTTCTTTTGTCATTACCTGAAAAATTCCTCTAAGACCACCAGGAATATCCAATCAATTCCTTTCTGCTTGGGATACTGCACCTTCAGGTAGGATAGGACCAGTCAAAGAGTGCTTAAAAAATATCAGGGAGATAAAAGTGAGAGAGAATTGCTGTGAATGAGGTGTTTGTGTTGTGGAGAAGAAGACTGAGTATAGATAGAGCAAATTTTCAATTATATAAAAGATGTGGGGAGGAAAATGTGATCAAAACAAGTCCCTGTGAGTGGGTTCAGTGCACAGAGATCCATTCAGGAGATGAACCCTGCCCCACCTCATGCACCATTGGATCTCTAACCTGACATTTCTAGGGAAACATTTATCCCCAAACACCTATTTATATATATTTTTTATATATATATATATATATGTCCATTTGGTTTGCATTAAACTTGAAATACACATTTAAATTCACAGCTCTCATTTCTCTTGATTTAAATGCTGGCTGTAATGTAAAAA